TAAGGACATGTGCTCTGTGTTTGTCTGGGCTTGCAACCAGCAGATTATTTGCATGTGTGGGGAGAGATACCCCTTCCCACCTGCAATGTCTGATAATCTGGCCACATTGCATGAAGAGTGGATAGTTCGAGAAATAGACAGAGAACTACAGAAAAAATGAAAGGCACTTTTTTTTTGTGAGTGGGGTTGGGGTCATAAACAGGGATCACTGGCACTTGGGGATATGAAATTGAAAAATAAAGGGATAATGGCTAAATAAGGGATAATAAGGGGGAGAGACAAGAAAAAATGAAAGGTACTTTTTTTTTAGGGGGGTTTCATAATCAGGGATCACTAGCTGGCACTTGGGGATATGCACACACATCCAAATGCTGTGCTGAACTGGCACTGTTCATGCAGTGCAGCTGTGCTGTATGATCTTAGAAAACGGACGAGTTGTACAAACTCCTCCGTTTCAGGAAGGCTAAAATGGACAAGTTTGTATAACTCGTCCGTTTTAGCCTTCCCAGCTTGAAGATGGGAAGGCTGAAACGGACGAGTTGTACAAACTCGTCCGTTTCAGGAAGGCTAAAACGGACGAGTTGTACAAACTTGTCCATTTCAGGAAGGCTAAAATGGACAAGTTGTACAAACTCGCCCATTTCAGGAAGGCTAAAATGGACAAGTTGTACAAACTTGTCCATTTCAGGAAGGCTAAAACGGACGAGTTTGTATAACTCATCCATCAGAGCACAATTTTTTATCCAAAAGATGTCCGTGAAACTCATTTGGATGAGTTTTGGACATCTTTTGGATAACTTCTTGCTCACTGGGTACACTACACCTCCCCCCTTGAGGAGAGGAGACCCTACATTGGCAGCTGTCAAAGCTCATCACAATGAGGGGTGATGGTGTGGAGGTGGGTAGGGATGAAAGGTAGCTGGTCATGACACCAGAGACCATCACAGAGTTCAAGTGGCAGACAACAAAAGGATGGGTCACATTCCATATGGCATGCTGGCTGCATTGGTCAGCAGTAGTTGGTGCATCTGGTTGGTTGGCAATGGCCTCCACAGGTGCCCAAGATAGGGCATCATCAACTACATACTTGGTGCCAGGAGTATGCACAATTTGGAAAAGACCAGGATACTGTTGGAGTTTGAGTTGCCAATGTGCAAAACGTCTGCCAGCACCATCAGTAGCAAAAAGCCAAAAGAGCAGAGCATTATCTGTGACAATGGTAAAGGATGCAGCATGGAGATAGTGGTCCCACTTGCTGAGGGCCCACATAATAGCAGTGGCTTCACAATTGATAACGGAGCATTTATACTCAACAGGAGACAGGAGGCGGCTAGAAAAGACAATAGAGTGGATTTTGCCATCTGGGCCAACTTGTTCCAGGTGAGCACCCAGGCCAACATCTGAGGCATCAGCAAAGAGGATGTATGGGGCAGCTGGATCAGGCAGGCAGAGGACTGTACCAGAGCATAGAAGGGTGCACAGTGTTTTGAATGCGGTCTGGTGGGCAGTTTCCCATGTGAATGGGAGTGGCAGCTTTGGCCCCTGTGCAGAGCGCAGATAGGATTTGAGAGTGAACAGGGGTTCAGCAAGTGTAGCCAGGTTGGGAGTTAAAGCATTGAAGTAGGCCAGGAAGCCCAGGAACCGTTCAAGTTCAGCAAGAATTGAGGGTGGAGGGTAGTTGCGGATGGCCTTAACATTAGCTTCAGTGATGGAGATGCCAAACTGGTCCACACAGTGGCCTAATAAGATGGTGTCAGGGCAGGTAAAGGTGCACTTTGCCTTTGAGAGATGGGCCCCATGATTGCCTAAGTGTTGGAGGACTGTTTCAACAGCAAAAAGGTGGTCAGATGCTGTCTTGGAAAAGATGAGCAAGTCATCAATGTAGCAAACAACATTGGGAATCTGGTGGCAGCGGTTCTCTTTCAAGTAACCTGCCCCAAATATTACTCATGTCCAACCCTGCCCCTGGCAACATCCCACTACTGCCACCAGTAATGCAGATTATAGGTTTATTATGCTCTATTTTGGTTCAGAGTAAGCTAACTGCATCTCATTCCAGAAGGTCATGAGGTTAACCAGAATAATTGACCTTCATTGGTCTTTGAGGGAACCTTTAAGAGGTTCCCCTACACTACAAAGTATTTTTTTGTGCAATGTAGATGCATAGAAGAAGGTGCATGCACTTTTTTCTTTGGAGGAAGGCTTTGTTTGTACTTTCAAGACTGCTGATGGTCACAAGCAGCTCTTCCCTCAAATTCAGTATGCAGAGGCAAAAAAAAAAAAAAACACAGATTGGGTGCAGCAGGAGCAAATACATAATGCCGGGCAATTGATCAGTTTGATGCCATCAACATACACCTAAGCAGAGAATTGGAAACCTTTAATTTTTTTCTTATAGACGCTTACGTAAACTTAGTCATACTGTAATGTGAATCCAAGATGAATCAAAATGTAACCCATATTAAAATCAATTCATCAAAATACATGTGAGCATCGAATCGAGATAACATTTAATGTTATCAGGTATGCAAAACAGGCAGTTGAACAGAATAACATAATTTAACGGATTGATAACCTTTCTTTTCAGTTTTCTCCTGAAAGTTAAAAAAAAATTCTGTTAACCGTGACAAGACGCAGCTAAGGGTAAAGTTTTATATATTTTCTCTCTCACGGTTCCTGTCAGGTTTAATAACCAGGCAAAACCTGAAAATGTTAGACTCCCCTGTACCAACTCAAATCGATGGGAGAGAAGATCGCTAGGAATTAGCTTTAAATCACAAGGTGAAGTTGATTTGGAAAGCCTGTAGGCCCTTAGCTAAGCTTATTGATTCCACAAAAAAAAACAGTATTGAAGACATAGACTTTAAAAGACGGATATTCGCCTTACGTACATTCACGACACAATAATTCACAAATCATTCATCAACGCAGTGAAAGCATAACTCCAATTCGTACAGTGGATAACACAGGCAAACTGATTCACTTCAATCACAGGTTATGCCATTGTATCCGGGTGGGGTGTTGAGGAATTTGGCGGCGAACCTTCGGAACGGCTCCAGCGTGCTGTTCTGCCAATTGTTTCAATCCGGATGTGCCAATTTACGAACATTGTCATGCAAAGCCAACTGTGTGCTGGGTTTTTGGGAGGTGGAACTGACGCATGCACTGGTGACTCTGGCGGCCCATTAGTCTGCTTCAACAATCCCAAAGATCCCGAAAAAGATGCAAGAAGAACCCGTGACTGGCGAGGGAATAAAGCAGCAAAGAGTGAAATTGAGTTCGGTTGGCCCAAGGAGTTCTCCCCGTCTCCTTTTTTGTGTGGGGTGGTGTCCTATGGTCACGCCTGTGCTCAGGCAATGTTCCCAGGGGTTTACACCCGGGTTGGATACTACCTTGACTGGATCAGCAAAACGATCGCAGCAAATCATTTTCGTGAAGGTTGGTGAATAATCAGAAGGATCATGTTTGATAAGGAAGTTATTTCTCATCTCTAGAAAAAATTTCATGGAAATTGGATTCGTGAAAGATCTACTAACTTTCTCCATACATAACTGGACTATAACCAACTCATAAATACTCTGGTGAACGTTCCGAATGCATTATCAACAAATTTAGGTTTTTGCAGAACTCAGTTTGGCCAAGTCAAAAATGCAAAATCTTGGCCCCGCAGCTCCCATTTCAGGCAGATGCCAAAATTCAATATATTACTTTCACGGTATTTACCATTTACATACCAAATACAGTCAACCCTCAATTTAGTGCCCCCTGATTTTGTAACTTGCTGCATAGTGCCACAAATTTCCTTAAAAAAAAATCTCTATCCATTGTGTTCTTAAGATGAATCCCAAATTATTGCCCACTCACTCAGTGCCACAACAATTGTCCTGCCCTGAATGACGAAATCGGGATCTATCAGAGAAATTAAGGCAGATTTTTAGTTATATGATTAGCTTTTCACTGAGAATCACATGCTTGTGCTCAAAATAATTTTGAAAATTTGATATCTGCATTTAAATGCCATAGGTTGGCTTTATTCGGATGTCCTCCACATCATCATAAAACATCTCAGTAGCTGGCATTTAGTCAGAGTCTATAGAAAAAATTAAAATCACTCTACCTAATCGTTAATTATTTCCTTGCATTGGAAGGTTGATTCAAACTGCAAAATACAGTTTCCCTATTCTAATGTACCCACTATGTGCCGAAATCTAATGTATTCTGTACAAGAACATGAATACATGCAGAAAAAACAGTTAATTTGAGCTTCGAAGTCCGGTGGTTTTCTCTCTTATAGAGCAGACTTAATGACCAAATAATTCTGCAAACAAGCCTACTTTGAAAACAAGCAGAATCTGTGAAAAAAGCTCCTGCAATAGAATACCCTCGATTTAGCGCCACCCTTGCTCATAGTGCCAAAAATGTGGCAGGACAAGTATTGGAACCAATTCGGGGTTTGACTACCTTCTACATTTTTGGAAGACGCTGTGGATGTGCAACATACTGCATATAAAGAAATTAAATTGTTTCAGTCTTGAAAGGAATTTATCACTGCTTACTCATCATTATAATCTCGATTTATGCCTGACAGAGAGTAGAGGACTATCAGCACACACTATGGAAATATGTTCCTTATAAGAGTTCGTTCGACTGTGTGTGCGTCTAGAAACATGTTCGAAGTATTCGGCGAGGTTCATCTTTTTCTGGAAATGAGTAAAATGCCCTCTTTTATTTCAGCGAAGCTTTCATGGGAGGAACAGCGCACTAGGACTGCAACAGGTCAGAACTTATGCTTACTTATTGAATCTATATTGGTAAGCAATTCCATTGCTGTGTGATCCATTAATTCTGTCACTTATCAACTTAACTATTCAATTACAGTACTGAGATTTGGAATTAGTATCTTAAATTCTGGCGTCCGAGCTGGTATCGCCTAGTTGCCGTGCTGAGAAACAAAGCGGACCACGTTATTTAGTACGAAATAGGTGTCGCTCCAACTAAGGTCAACATCTACCATATCCAGCATTGCTGGTAAAAATTGATTGGTTAGAAAAAAACTTTTTAAATCTGCGTGATCTACCCTGTGTGTACCTGTAATTCGATTAAGTGTGTTTGGAAATTTGACTCAGCAGTGTTGGTTGCATCAGGCATAACTTTTATGAATATATTTATTCATTCATATATGTAGTAAATTTCTGTTTCAAGGATTCTCGTTGTAAGTCTGACACATTTTTTTTATAATAAACTGTTTCTTGTTCCTTGCAGTTTCTTCATTGGCGTGATGCCATAAAAGACTCGTTTTTACAAATTTGCATAAGGCTGTAATCTCAGTATAACAAAATGTTGTCCTTGATCAAGTGCATTCCCAGCGAATAATTAGGGGTTGCAACCCGCGTTTGAAACGCGTCTGACACTGACCTTATAGAAATTATTCGGTAAATGGCAGAACAGTGCCAAAACTTGAAATGGGGCCGCATTCCAACTGCTTTTGAGTAAGGAAACCTTTTGGTAGAAAAAATGTAGCATGGAAATACAAAATACGACATACTTCTTTGGAATTTTTAAGTTCCATTGCAGAATAATATGCCCATTTCTTTCGTATAACAGTTTGTTTGAAAGCACAAAGCATGAAAGAATTTTCTATTGTGTATTTCCAGAATGGCTATCTATTGCACATTTCCTATAACAAATTTCCAGTCTAAAATGTGTTGAAACTTGAAACCCATGAATCTCATCGAAAAATTTCGACCATATTGAAATTTTTATCTAGCCCTCTCGAGTTTGTTTCGATTTGATTTTACTTCATTATCTTGGGCATGGAGCATTCTTAAGAATGCACAGTTTTTTAAGGTCAGTTCCATTTTAATTTTGAGTTATGGGTTATGCATCGATTCGTCAGATAACGAGTTCAGGCATTCCTCAGTTCCAATACTAGTCTGAAAATAATCTTCGGTTGGACAGATCCAGTCAGAAGCGACAATAAACGAGCAAAGTTCGGCTTTTGCAAATCCGGAACACTTCCCCGGAAGTGTCCCATTATTAAATGCACTAGCTCAATTTGAGTCACCTATTTGCGCTTCCTAAATTAGGATTTCCCACCTCTGAAACTCAGCATCCGAAGTTGACCCAATATCCAGGGATTCCTAACTGAAGGGCGGGGAAGTGTCCAGACATTGTTTCATGATTAGAAGAATAATAATCACATACTTTCTGTACCTTTACCACCAATCACAGAAAACTTCAATTTCCTCGGCATGGTTTCGAACGGCAGGGAGAAGGATCCTGGCAAAATCTGCGCTGGAGTTTTGATCCACTACCAGTTTCTCCTCACATCTTCCGAATGCTGTAATGAAACCTGCAAAATGAGATATGAATGCCGATGTTCCATGGTGGATTTCTCACGCCATTACGAAACCAATGAATAAGAATATTTAATCATGTATTCATATTCCAGGTTGACTTTGATCATTGGCGCATTCCATTCTCAAATCGCATCACTTTCGACGTTTCCGAACATTTTCCATTCGACGAGAAAAAAGCTTTCAACATGATCGCAAGGTATGAAACTCAAAAGTTTGTTTTGATATTGCTGAGCACTCAGGAAGCTTCTTATGGTTTTTTTTTCTCCGTTAGAACATCAAGAAGCGCCATCTTTCCACCAGAATCAAAAATAGAGCGCTTTCCAAAATCTGGGGAACCTTTAGCAGTTCTGAGGCTCAGTAGAGGGGCAAATTTTCGCGAATTCATTCCACCATTGAATCTCATTCAAGATCCTGAAAACTTAGTTGGTGAGGACGCGGTCTTCCAGCAGTCTGTACTGCACTTGAAATTAGAAAAAAAAGTTGAAATCGGAGAAATTGTTATCTTTGCAGGCCAAGAGGCTACACTAATCACATTGTCTCTTGACCAGCTTCAAAAGACTTGGAAGACTAGAACTGGTCAATTCCAAATAGTGGAATGTCCTGAACATCTATTGCGCAGTAATGGTTTGGTGTCCAAGGCCAAAGATATTNAGGATATTATTTGTGCACAGCACAAGTCCGAACTACACTGCGACGTGAGCGAATTAAATCAAATATTCCACAATAAACCTTCGTTTTGCATGGAAAAAATTCCCTCTGACATATGTCTAAGTGAAGAATTGGAAAACTAATCTGCACATTCCGTATTGATGAAATCGTCAGGAGTTTGAAACATTGTCTGTGATTACTAAAAGTTTAGTTTGTAACGTGAAAATAAAATCTGTCCCCTTTTTACTGATGAAGAATTTCATAGAGAAAACTTGCTTTACTCCAAGGTTCGACTCATATCTCAAATGATTGGGTGAAAGTGGAAAAGGGGTTAAATTTTCTTCCCAGGAAATCCAGGATACCTGGCATTCTGTCTACAGTTGAGGATGGGATTGACTGCCACAAAATAATAAGCCTCGAGAAAAAATGTGATTGTTCATTACTTGAAAAAAAGCTTTCATTTCTGTAAGGGAAGAACGGAAGTCGGTGAATGCATTTTAAACAAAAATGCTTTGTAGACCTTTTTTGTGAAAATCTTTAAGCTATATAAAAATATGGGAGTGTTTTATGAAAAATATAGAAAACAGCGTCTCCACAAAATATAATAAACACATTACTCCGCATTTACAAATATTTAGTTTAATATTATTGCCTAAGCTCGAACTTTTAAAGCTCGAATTTCCAAAAAACTTTCGCCTCTTCATCACAGGAAGCATTGCCTGGAAGTCCACTGGTTTGCCACGGAAATTCCTTGAACAATTCCAGTCCGAAAACCAGTTCCCTTTGTGGGATAACCGGCAGATTTGAAGGACCGACTTCCAAGTACCAAACCTACTTCTCTCACAACCCGGATCCCAACTGGCCAAAATATGAGAAGAACATTTGCGTTTTCCGGCTAATCTTCTTTCCGGAGTTTGGCTTTTCGAATCAAGGAATTTCTCTGCAAGATTTAATGGCTTTCAAAGGGTATAACATGTAACAAACTAGTAGATGTCTTAATGATGAGATGGAAACTGGGTTCGAATTCGAAAATGAATCGCATTGGAAACACGGCTCTAGAATCATTTCCCTGGAATGGGTCAAAAGAAGGGGGAAATGTATTTCCAGAGGCTATGGCAGTCTATTCTAAGTTCCAGGCCACTGGGAGCCTCAAAAAATGAAATACAGTCGACCCTCGCTTTAGATTTTAGTGCCACCCTAACTTGGTGACACAATTTTGACCTGAACAAATCTCCCTTGATTGGGTTTTCAAGGGAGACTCCAATTTAGTGACAACTCAATTAATTCCAAAAATTTCTTTCCCAAGCCAAAGAATGGGCAGAAATCAAGGACATTTTTCATATCCCTCAGATTCCTAACAGATTTCTTCTCACCAAAACTTTGTTGGGGAATGTCCAATACCAGGTTCCTCAGCAGATTTCAAATGCATACAATTTGATTGACCTCAGATGGGCTTTGAAGAAGGGTTCTTAGTCTCTCACCTCCCAAGAGGTAGGTAACTTGCCACCCCTTTTGTCAGGATATGACTGACAAAGAACATTTTTGAGAGGGAAAATACCTCTCAAACAGGAATCAGATGTTATTTGGCCAGGTACCTCTTATATAGAGGGCCCTTCTAAATGATACTTTAATTCATCACTCAATGATAGAGAAAAACAGAGACCACATACAGGCAAGGAGTTAAGACTAAATCAACAATACTATTCACACAATCACACACCACAGGTCATTGTCAAGAGCCTTCAGACACCTAGATTCAATAACCAGGAGAGCATAGATTGGAGTGAGTAAAGAAATCCTTCCTATTCTTTGTTGGAGCCCAAGCTACACTGGGTTCCCACCAGTTCCTCCACAGGGAAAACCTGCTTTACAGCAGGGACTTCTTGCTGCACACTTCCTTTGCCACAAGTTCAGAGGCTGTGCAGACATTTGCTGCTTCAGTCATGCAGAGGCATCTGAAGGCAGCCCAACAACCACTGTGTTCCATTTGGTCAACCCATCAGTACAATTTTACAAGCTTCACTTTCATTATATCTGGCCTCAACACCACACACCCTTGTGTAAGAATTGAAACTGATTTTCTGTTCCTCAAACTTGGATAAAAATGTATTGATATCCCAAACTTTCAAATTAAACTAGAAATTATAATTATGGGTTGAATGTCCTCTCTGCTTTATAAGCCTTAACTCTATTTGATGTTTCCTTGTTGAGATAAACTCAAGTTGAGAAGTATTAGTCCTTATGGCCAGGGTAAAGCAAGATGAGGTTTCTTCTCTGTGGATATAAGTGCGTACATTTTGGATACTTGCAATGTATAGACAACATAGACCAAACCAGCAATGAGCGCAGAAGGAGTGTTTGGACACTCCTTTATAGACTACAGATGCATGAGACAGGTGACTGATTGTGCATGAACAGAAAGTAAGCTGGCATATGTAAGTCACCAGACACTTGCAACATTTGGGTACACTGATTCACGTGAGTTCCTATGCAGACGACAGGAACAAAAAAGTCAGTTTGAGAATGGGGTATTATTAGCCTGTTTGAGGACTCACTTAAAATCTGATGACAGTATATTCTGTTGTAAGAAATGAACCCCATTTTCATAGGCAGCCAATGAAAATATATTAAAAAATAAAAACACATTTGAATATAAATAATGAAGAATTTTTCAGAAATGTGATGTACATTTTAATTTTGTTCAATTAAATTGTTTGTGTTTTAGGGTGTCATCAAGGATTTAATTTCTTATGCATGCTTGGAGGTTTCAACAATAACAAAAATGGATCACCCCCTCTGTTGGCCGCCCCTTTTTTTCTTCAAATTTCTGGAAAAAAGCTGAAAATAGCGGGAATCAAGTGAATTTGGGAACTCTGTGAGTGAATTTTTGACTTTGTTTTTTTTCAAAATATCACCTCCATGGTAATAAAATCAGATAGGAAAATAATGGGTAGATTTTGCTTCATCATTACATGGAGATCCTCGGTCCAAAGAAGGAACAGCCGCGGGATGCTTCTCAATTCCCACAACTACTGTACATCCCCATCACCTGCCGTCCATGCTTTCTTTCCAGGAAGCGCACGCAGGAAGCAGGCCCCTCTTTCTAGGTCGTTCCACGATCATCCCCAGATGCGGAGCACATGGGAATCACGCATGCACCTCGTGGACTACTTCCACCACCCAGCATTCCCTCTTTCAAACCCCGTCTCTCTCCACCCGACCCGTGTCAGGTCGACATATATTGGGGAGGAGGGTGAGAAGCGGAGCACACATGAGAGGGTTTGTTCTCCGGCTTACCCCCGTGGAAAAGCGAGGGAGAGACCACCGAGAGAATGGCGACGGCGGGTTTCCAGAGCCCCATTATGCGGAATATTTCTCTGGCCGTCGTGCCCGTGCATGGCAACAGTGTTCGTCCTCGTGGTTCCTAGAAATTACTCACACTCTCTATAGACTTTCTAGTATTCTTGCTCGAAATCTCGGCATTGTTCTCAAAACATCACACAACAATAGCCAGGCAGAACAAAACAAAAAAACTCTTCATATTGTCCGAAACAGATCACAAAAACAATTCTTCGTGCTTGAAACAGGAAAGCTTCTGACAGGAGTTGAAAGATTCTTTCATATTTTTACCAAGTGCATGTCTTGTTAATGTTTGTGTGTGTGTGTGTTTCTGTTTTTGAGCAAGTAAGTGTGTTTCTTGTGCAAAATGAGTTTTACCGTCCTGTCCTTTTTTCTGATTATCTGGAAAGCAAACCATCGATTCATTTCGAAGTGCTTTTAAGTTCTGCCAATTTTTATTTTAGATAGTTCGGGAGAATATCCCTTGAAAAATCTGTGTTTTGTGAGCAAAAAAATCCTTTTCAATTCAAGCTTTGAATTGAGTGTGGATGTGTAAATTCCGGGGAGGAAGAACTAGATTGAGACACGATCTGCGTATTGCGTCACTTTGCCAGGGTTGACAAAAGAGTGAGACGA